GACTGATTATTTCATGTGGGTAATGGAGGATTTGGTTAAGTTTCAAATGACAATTCGTTGCTTATTCAATTTCGTCACGAATGCAATTCTCACACTTCCATAGCGGTAATCCACCTGGCTAAAAGCAGACGGATAAAGATGATCTTGACGATTCTTTTCGGGAAAAAATATGCCATATTTTCATACCTTATCGCTGATCGTTTAAGGCCTTTCGCCGACCTAATTTTCACCTGCTCATGGCTCATCACTGAAGTGACCGTTTTCTTATCTGCATCTGAATCACAGTTACTTGTGAGTAGTGTATGTGGGATAACTGATATTAACTGATTTGACTGACTATCCTTCGGACTTCAGCTTCAAGCACAATCCTGAGTTCATCGGATTCAACCATACACTTAGAATCACTAAACTCCAGTTTCGATCTTATTAGAGCTCATCAGTAATGCATATCCACAGTCCCGTCCGGGATTTGAACTCCGGACCCATCGCATGGAAGACGTGTGTGTTACCACTGTGCCGATCAGCTCATAACATGGCTGAACACAATTGCCAATGCATGTTTGTTCAAATGTCATCTTCAGTAATAGTCATTCAGTTCATTTTGCCTGACATTAACGAAGGGTGACACAGATGATAATCTGTCAACTCCAACCGAAAGCTTCCCATCAAGTTAGAACTTCCATGCAGCTTACGGGCTGACTTGCCACATGCCTACCAGGTTTGATTGGTATTCGCATTTTTTTATCCATGTGCGCGAATCTCACTCCGGGTATCCATGTTTAATATTCATTCATTTCTCCAGGTAGCATTTGATTGGCTGTAGCCCTTTCCCTGGGATTGGATGTACCATCGATTAGTAAATAAGGGGGTTGGGGGGGAGGATCGCTCATGATCATTATTATCATATATTATGATCACTGAAAAATTTATTTTCATGCCATTGTTACTAAGTTCCAGGTCAGATCATACTAGAAAATTTTTAAGGACTACCAGCTGAATGACAACTGAAATGTCAGTAGTCAGTTCTGAGGATAACCGTGCAGAGCCCGTGAATTTTTGTTTTTTTTTACTGGCAAAAGTGAAATCACCATGATATCAAAAGCGGCTAATTCGATTGTTTACATAGAATTTTCCGAAAGAGTAAGCTAAGCCATAATCATGCTACCGATATGAGTAATACCGTACTCTTATTCATTTCTGCAATTTACTTGCAGTGATTATGAAGCCGATAATCGAAGAAATGACATGAGATACAAGAAAGAGAAAATCTCAGGTGGTGGTGGTGGTGGTGTTTGTGGGTTTGGAGCTCACGACCGCGTAATCACTGAGATGTCAACTTGCAGAGTTTCACCATCACCAGCAGCAGCAGCAGCAGCACCACCACCACCACCACCATCAACGCCACCACCAGGCGCATCCATACGACTGTTGCGTTTGTGATCTGTTTGTAGGATTGCAATCTAAATCATGAGCAACTTAAATCGATTCTGAACGCTTCTTTCGCAACAGAAACGAGAGAACAACACAGTGCTTCTCAGTCTTTTAGTTCAGGTCTGTATGAGCGTGTATAGAACGAATGGTATACTTGTAGGTTTTTGGGTCTACCAAGCGCGACTGTAACACCTCATATAAGGAAAGTAAAAGCTGCAGTTTCACCGGGGCAAAACGAAGCCAATTCGCGCCACATCTAATGATTCAGAGTAGACGCACCTACGCAATGGTAGAAATGGCATTCTGATATCAGTTAAGTCACCTGCTGTTCAAAATAAGTTTTGCATATCAACCTTCTCATAGATAGGGAAATGGCGCATATTTGATAGATGCGCAGTTGATTTTATTCTTCAGCCACATCATGCAAAATGTTTGGAGTTAACGTATCCTCCCTTAATGTTATGTCAGATTCAATATGGTATCCGTGTTTGCAACGTTTGAAACATGCAACATGGGGGCACCAAAGCAAATAATGAGTTCTCACTAATATGAAGCATTAAGTTCCGTTCATCCATTTCATCAAAAGAGAAAGATGACAAATGTCACGAGATATTAACATTTCGTTTAATCTTCTCAGTCGTTGAGCTAAAACAAACAGGCACATATTTAGCACATGGAATTAATCAATTTTGATGAACAAACGTGTACAAGCATACGAAGATTGCTAAATTTAAAAGTAGAAGATCAACTCTACGGTAAGTGGATTGCTTGCATCAAAAACATCTGTGCACACAGGGTCGGGTGATGTAATCGAATAAGCAATGCTTCACTAAACGCCGAAAGTTTAGCATTTGGATTACGTACCAGTGGTTTAAAAGACGAATTAAGATCA